CGATAAATAAAACTAATTTGATTTGACTTAACTAAAATAAAAACTAATTATTCTTCAATTTTAATTTACAAATATATTATATTCAATATACTCACAAAATTAATGACTCGGCTAATCTAATTTATATTCAAAATTAATCAACTAACTACAATAATAACATATAATTTTATAATAATAATAATAATAATATTAATAATCTATTTAGTTTTATACATATAAACTAGAGGTTGACCCAAAGCATATTAAAAAGAAAAAGAAAATATTAACCAATTACAATTTAATTCTTTTTAGAATTTATATATGCATGCGACTTCAAAATATTATCATTATATTCATTTATGTAATTTTGAATTAAACACTTCAGCTTATTATTTATTTCATTTTAAGCACAATATATATATATATATATATATATATATATATATATTAAGTTATACATAATTTAACTATAATATATTTACATATCTAAGAATATATTTACATATATAAAGACAATAACCATCCGAAATGAAAATAAGAAAATTAATCAAAGTCTTATTATATTTAGAATAAAAAATATTATAGCTGAATTCAAAAAAATAAATATTATCTAATATACCAAATTGATAACCAAACCGACTATTGATAAAAAAAAAATTAAACCGGTAATAATATATCCAAAGTCATATATATAATTAGAATAATATAATATTTATTAATATAAATTATACATATAAATTGATTAAAAACTAAAACTACATACCAATCAATTATTTATTTCATTTAAGCACAATATATATTAAGTTATACACAATTTAACTATCATATATTTACATATCTAAGAATATAGTTACATATCTAAAGACAATAACCAACCGAAATGAAAATAAAGAAATTAATCCAAGTTTTATTATACTTATAATAAAAGATATTATATCTGAATTCGAAAAATAGATATTATTCAATATACCAAATTGATAACCAAACCAACTATTGATCCGAAAAATAATTACACCGACAATAATATATCTAAAGTCATATGTATAATTATAATAATATAATACTTATTAATATAAATTCTACATATTAATTGATTCAAAACTAAAACTAAATACCAATCAATTATTATAAAATTTTACTTTTATGAATATTCGTACCCGTGCATGAGCACGGGAAAATCACCTAGTAGAAAAAATATTTGTAAGATAATTATTTCAAATATTATTTATGTAAGATGAGGAAAATGATTTTTACTACTAAAAGTAATTTAAAAGTTATTGTGGCTAAAATATACATATATTGTTGGTTTTATTATCACTAATTACATAATAAAAATGATGATCAAAATTATTTCTATGATCGAATAATTCAAAATTCAAAATCACCAAAATATATTGATGGTCACAAATGCAGAAAAGTTAAAAATATCTTAGAGTGACAATAAAATTTCACTAAAATGACCAATAAACATTAGAATATATTTAAACAATAAGAATAACATATTTAACATCAAATAAAGCAAACATTGAATTGGTACATAACAAGTGTATGATATTGTCATTAACTTGATTGACATTATTTAATTTTCAATTTTTTTATTTCATTCTAATTCTTAATTTGAATTAGACTTGATTTAAATTTTTAGGTATGAGTATTTTCTCTGACCTTCAGTATAAAGTTAAAAACAATTCACTAATGTGTCATGATTATTAAAATACAAATATTAACAACAATATATAGGGTAAACAAATTTTAAACTCTAAAATATTTCACAGAACATATACAAAAATAATCATAAAATATAAAATAATTTATTATCTTACTTTATTTGTAAAATTAAAACATCAAATAAAATATGTGTTGATTAAAATACAAATACTAACCGGAACTTTATGGGAAAATAAATTCTTAATTTCTAAAATAAATCTCACACAACATATGCAAAACAAATTCTCAAACTATAACATGAATTATTATTTTTATATATTTTATAAATATTAAAGCATTAAATAAAATCCGTACAAAGCATGGATCATCTCTAGTTTTGAATAAACCCTTTTATTTATAGTCAATCATTTTTTTGTAACTTATTTATTGTAGATCGATCATTCCCATGATTCGACTATATTATAGGTCGTGATTAGATACTTTTCGTTAGGCCCCGCCCAATGTATTGGATTGTCTACAGGGCCGGCTCAACATTTGTTTGGGCCCCTGGGTAAAAATTTTTTTTTGACTTTTATGTTTATATTTAATAAAAAAATTAAATAATTTTTTAATTTTTAACATCAATATCTTTAAAAAAATTGTTATAAAAATAAATTATGTATATGTAAAATATTTTAGGGCCCCTATTCAACTAAAATTTATAAATATTTAAAATTTTCTATATAAAAATATGTATATATAAAAAATATTGGGCCCCTTAATTAATAAAATCGGGGGGACACGGGTTTGGACCCGGGGCGGTCGCACCGTTTGTCCCCCCTTGTAAGCCGGCCCTGATTGTCTAGAACAAAATAAATTAGCTCTTGGACCTTTGACATGTTACATGTAGATGTACAAAAATGTGCAAACTACAAGACTTTTCATGGAAATTATGCCCTCCAATTTTATCAACAATTTGACTACTAAAGCTGAGTTTAATGCAATTTAGTCCAGGGCTGGTCATGTTCCCTGTTTATTTAGATTGAGACGACAGCCTATCATCTTTGGTCATCTTTTGCCTGAATCTAGGAGAAGCCATGGTTGCATCCGTGTTAAAGAGATCGAGCATCGCCGGAGATGCTGTGAATTTCATATGATCGGGGAAGTCCACATCAATATCGTGATGCTTAGTCGCTTCCTCGTAGTTTCCACATATATATCATCAATAGGCAAGTGCATCAATATGGAGCCATGAGACTTGATTTGGTAATTTTACGTAAGAGTGCCTCCATTGGTTTTTTTTTTTTAACTTCTGATTAATTATGCTACTAGGTGATTTTCCCGTGCTCATGCACGGGTACGAATATTCATAAAAGTAAAATTTTATAACAGTTGATTGATATTTAGTTTTAGTTTCATAAATTTATATGTATAATTTATATTAATAAATATTATATTATTCTAATTATACATATGATTTTGGATATATTATTGACGGTTTAATTATTTTTTGGATCAATAGTCGGTTTGGTTATCAATTTGGTATAATAGATAATATCTATTTTCCGAATTTAGCTATAATATTTTTTATTTTATAAAACTTTGATTAATTTTTTTTTTTCATTTCGGTTGGTTATTGTCTTAGATATGTTAATATATTCTTAGCTATGTAAATATATTATAGTTAAATTATGTATAACTTAATATATATTGTGCTTAAAATAAAATAAATAATAAGCTAAAGTGTTTGATCAAAGTTACATAAATGAATGTAATGATAATATTTTCAAGTCTCATGCATATATATAAATTCTACAAAAGAATTAATTTGTAATTGGTTAATATTTTCTTTTTAATATGCTTTGAGTCAGCTTCTAATTTATATGTATAAAATTAAATAGATTATTATTATTATAAAATTATATTTTATTGTAGTTAGAAGTTTGATTTTGGATATAAATTAGATTAGTAGAGTCATTCATTTTGTGAGTATACTAAGTTAAATATATTTTTAAATTAAAATTGAAGGATAATTTCTTTTTATTTTAGTTAAGTCAAGTCAAATTAGTTTTATTTATCACTTAAATATACATGTATTCTCATAATATTTATTTACTCTTATTTTAGTTAAGTTGAATCAAATTAGTTTTATTTATCGCTTAAATGTACATGTATTTTCATAATATTTATCAAATTATATGTTGATTTCTAAAAAATATTAGAAAATGAAGTGTACTGATAAATTTTTGAATGTTCATGAACATGTATATTTTTATTATTTTGAAAATATATTTTATGTTATTTAAAAGTATATATTAATGGGGGTATTACTATTTTGTGAACTTTCCTTTTTTATTAAATCATATTATATAAATATATTTTCGTTTTAAAATTTGTTTTAAATTTTTTGAAATATTTCCTTTCTATTATATATGTTATTTGGAAAAAGGTAAAAAAGAAACTAAATAAAAAAATAATAATAATCTTAACATCTAATAATTCATTAAGGGTATCTATGTAATCAACCATCGCGAGAGTTAACGTGAGCGTGACACGTAGGAAAGTGACTTCTCAAATAATATTATAGAGATTACAACGATGAGAATATTAAATAGACGATTTTACAGCCGACAATTCTACCATCTTGTGAGAATACACGTCTGACTGCATCACTCCGAGTCGTCCTATGAGATCTATGTTCGATGGTACGCATAATTTGTTTTTTTTTTCTGGAGTTTTGAACCCCAGATCTCCGGGTGTAAAAGCATTAATGAACTCTTAGTTAAACCACTGGACCAAGGGGGCTTCCACCACCTCCATTGGTTAGAACCTTTAATAGGTTCTTAAAATTAATTTAATAGTTAATTATGTACTTTATGAAGTTTGGAATTCCTATTAATGTAATTAGTTTTGTGACGGTCCAATGGGAGAACCCTTACGAGATTCTTCAAAAAAAAATTTAGAAATTGAATTATTAAGTTTAACATATACAATATTCATATAATGCAATCACAGTACTGATCTTAACTCAATAATGTTATACAAAAATCTAAAATCTAAAATCTAAATCAGAGTACCTTCAACATATACCTTCAAAACACAGAAGTGAAAAACATAATCAAAATTTGTTATATCTCTCCTCTTGTGCTTTAGAAAGAATGCAGTTCCAACACAGCTAATTAACTTTAAATGAGTACAAAATCAAGATAAACAAACATAGAGATATAATTAGCCATGTCGTGTATAAACTCAACGAACAATGTCTCTCACGAGCAAGAGAAACTTGACACGAAAAGCACTTACAGTACGTAATCTTGCAGAATCCCTGACCATTATTCTCAGAAAGTCTTCAACAGTCACTATTCCTGCAATGTTTAGCTTCTTATGGATGGCTCCATCCTCACCAATCTTCTCAGTCTCCACACGTCATCATTCATAGCAGGTGGATAATGCTTCTCGTACACTACACAAAAAAAATATGCATCAAACTAAAAGAAGTAAACACTGAGAAAAAAACAAAGTAGAAACTTTTAAAGAACATACATTCTCCCCTGTTATCCTTAACAATGAAAACTTCAGTCTTAGCCTCACGTATACGCATACCATCACAACACCCAGAAGAAACCCTTAACCCAAGCCTGAACTTCCTACTCCGAATCCAACTAGTTAAGGCAAAGGATTGATGAACTACAAAGAGTGATCACAGGAGAGACAAATCAAGACAACAACAAGTTCAAGTTTTATAACTTAACGAAAGGACTGATGAACTACAAAGAGTGATCACATGAGAGACAAACCAAGACAACAACAAGTTCAAGTTTTATAATATAAATCAGACTCGACATTAAGCCATACTACCTTTCCGTGCATCCCTTGAATAGCTTTCATAAACTCCTCCTTAGACTCATACCTCAGGAAAGCAAACCGTCTTGGTCTATTTGCTACTTTATCCATCACCAAGTTAACTACACATGAAGAAACAAAAGGAGCAAACCCTTGTCATTTGAGTTCAAGTCTCATATGGTACAAAAGCAGAGACAAACAAAACATCATCAAAAGGCTCCTGAAAGCTAACAAGTAAAACCATAACAGAAAATCAACACTACAAAACTGATAACCTCAATCAACACTACAAAACCTCTCTTTTCTCTCGCGGCTCTTTCAAATACAAAGAGGTATAGACCGAGGCGGTGAAGGTGAGCCACCGTAACTGGAACTTCTGTTTCCTGACAGTGTGGAACCGTCTCTTTTGTTACCGCCAATGGTTCTGTGACAGTCATCAACGGCAACAGGAGAAGGAGGAGAAGATGAAGTGATTGGGATCGAAGGAGGAGGAGAGAAATTTTGTTTCGTATCAGAACGGAGAGAAAAGATCAACTGGTTGGGATCAAGGAGGAGGAGAGCAATCAATCGATTTCGTCTATATCTTCTATGAAGAGAGAGACAGGGAAGAGAGAGACATAGATCGAAGGAGGAGAAGACACGTAAGAGGTTTTTTTAGCAATTCTTAGAGCATGTTCATTGCAATAACCCAAAAAGGGCTCTTAATCAATAATTAATTATTAAAATCAAGTTAACAGTTTAGATTAAGAGACACTTACTTTAACTCTTCCAACTACATCTTGACCCGCGCACCGGCGCGAGTTTAACTTAATTTAGAAAACCATTATATATTCATAAGTCATCGGTTATTACCGTATTTCAAAAACTATTATCGTATTGAATTTGTGCGCGGGTTTAACTTAATTTGGAAAACCATTATATATTCATAAGTCATCGGTTATTACCATATTTCAAAAACTATGATCGTATTGAATGTAATAGGACTGGAGTTTGATTTTGGGTTCAACTTTTGTTGGATTCTTTATGTTCGTAGTTTTTTAATTCTACAGATATAAGATCTGTTCTGTTATCTATATAAATTAATTTTCGTCCGGTTCGATTCTTTTGGTTTGAGCTCAGTTTGGTAATAATTATAATAACCGACTAATATCAGATAAATATTTGGTTCCAATATGATAACGGTTTGGTTACGATTTCTAGGATTAATTTTAGATTAATCGGGGTAAAACTGATTTTGGGGGGGGGGATAGGTGTTTCGGATAAATATCGAGTTACGAAAACAAAATTTTAATATTTTAGTTAAAACTATTCAAATATTTTGTGTCTTTATGATAATATGAATAATGTAAAATACTTTAGATAAAATATATTTGAGTATTAAATTATTTGAAATGTAAATTGTTATTATCTTAAAAACTGATGTTATTTTTAATTTAGTCAACAATAAATAAAATTGAATATGGTCTTTATATAAAATATAAACTAAAAACATAAATTACTACAATGGGCCAAATGATTAAATCCAACCATAAAATAAAATAAATTAAACAAAAGCCTAATTCTATTATAACAATGTTTAAAAGCCCAACTCCTTTAAACTTATAGCCAAACAACATTAAGGTGGGGGTATTGGATTTAGAAGTTTGATGGAATTTGAAGGAATCATAGTTTCCATTAAATTCTACTGTTATTCAATTGTAGATTTTATCAATTCTTTCCAATTTCTGTGTTATTGGATTAAAGATTTGCAATTAATTTTCTAATTACTTTAAATTTCAGTGTTATTCAATATTTGATAGATTTTGTAGGAATGTTATTTGAATAGAATTTAATGGAAAATTATTGTAAAAACGTGAACAACCAATTCTTTGCTCTCATGAAGAGATTTGTGATCACCCTAATAAAAGACACACACACACACACACCTTTGATACGGCGAGTTTCAGATCATGTTGTGTCACATGCATCTCTGAGATCACCCAATCGCCGGAAGGGAATCGACCAAGTGGCTTTCTCCCTAAATCCATCACCACTTCGATTAATTCACTGATTGACTCGTGCTTGACGAGCTCTTTCCTGCCGGAGGAAGAATCTCGAGGAAAGCGTCAAGCTCCACCGTAGGAGGCGGCGGCGGTGTGTTCCGAGATGATGAATTCTCTGAATCAGATGAAGGTACGAAGCTGAATCCAACGGGATGTTTCCGTAGTGGAGACGGTGAAGCCGGAGATTTTGAAGATGCGATCCTCTGTCATAAAACAAAAGAACTGGATAACATATATATTTCAACCTAAAATATACTTATCAACAATATGAATCGTGTTTTTGCTTGTCATTGTTATTCTATCAAAATAATGTCAATTCCGTCACAATCTATGACAAAAAATAAACAACGGAATTATGTAAATGCATTAAAATCTCATCAACTCTTTTAAACTACTGCAAAAATTGTTATTAATGAATTCTTTCAAATTCCATTAAATTCCTAAATCGAATACCACCCCCTAAATTCTTTATTACTACTATTTAAGTTTTCAAACAAACCTAAAGAGTACTACAACTTTAATAAGATAGATGGTAGTTTCTTAAGTTAGGGGTTCTTCCTCCTTTCTCTTCACCACTTCTTCAACTATTCCCTTTTTCTGGTTGTACACACAAACAAAAAGAACAAACAATTCATTTCCTCGTTATATGTCTCTTTCTAGCAGGATAATGAAGAGGAGTTTGAGATTTTACATACGGTAGGTTTGGTACTCAAGGCCTTCAAATAAGCTGTCCGGTTTTCTGAGAAACACTGAGGAAGGTTTGTCCTTATTTGCTGCAATACCGGCTCATGTACTTCGTTCTTTACATTCCCAAGTTTTAGAGACAATGAAGACTTGATTACATATAATTTTCTTTTCTTTTCTTAAAAGAGTGTTGATTTGTTATTTTCACTGGTTTATGTTTCAAATAATTGTTATGGTTTGAAATTTATTTAATGCTTATTCAAAAATATAACGTTTTCATATAGTCATAAAATATAAGACTTTATTTATCTTAATTTATTCAAATACATAAAATGTAAAAATCATCATCAGATCATACAAAAATGAAACAAAGTAATCAGAGTAACACGGAAGAAAAGGGTTTCAAGGGAGCATTATTAGGGATAAAACAACCGAACATGAATTCATTAATTTTATCAGCAAATCCTGTTCTTGGTACTCTTTTTTGTCTCCACAAACTTCTTCCAATACGCCGTAACTTCTCTCGTAGTTTCCTCTTCCGTCTTCTTAACACCGTTAGCTTTTCCGTTAGCCATCTTTGCATGAACCCTCGCCGGAAGCGTATCGAGCTCGTGAAGCACCTTCTCGAAGTCTGCGACCAATCTCTCAGCCAAGGTTCGAGAGAAATCTTCTCTAATCACAACTCGGAGCACAGTGACGTGTTCTGCATCCGCAGGCATCGTATAGGCTGGAACGATCCACCCGAAGCGACGGAGAGTCTCAGCCACTTCGAACTCGTCATGGCGGCTACTGTCCTTTAGAGAAAACGCCACTAACGGAACACCGTTTTCTTTGGACACTATGTTGAAACGTCCTGTCTTCTCTAACCCTTGTCTTAGGACCATCATGTTTTCACGACAATTATCCATTACATTGCGATATCCCTAAACCAAATAAAAATTACATTTTGATTATCAAATAATAGTAACATAAATTCATAATATATATGGATTAGTCCGTATTTTAACATTTGGTCTAATCTTATTTAACACTACTTACTTCGAATCCAAGACGAATGAGCTGGTAGTACTGCGCAATCACTTGACTTGAACCTGGTTTATAAATACAAGCACATTTACATATGGGTACAAGCTAATATATGCTTTTTATTAACATATACAAACGGTAATGTAATATTTTACCTTTGGAGAAGTTGAGAGTGAAGGTAGGTTGATCAGCGCCAAGATAATTGATATGGAAGATAAGTTCATCAGGCAAATCGGATTTGGTTCTCCATACAACCCAACCGATACCAGCGTAAACCAAACCGTATTTGTGACCACTCACATTTATACTCTTAACCAATGGTAAACGGAAATCCCACTCTAGCTCTGGATACAAGAAAGGAGCAATAAACCCACCACTCGCTGCGTCCACATGGATACCCGTATCCCATCTGCGTTTTAAAAAATACGTTAAACCGGACCCAAACCCCCGTTAATTTGATTGATTAGTAGGTTTATTTGTATATTTTAGTTACCCGGTTTGCTTGTTTTTCTCGACTAGGAGGTCGTTAAGGAGCTTAACGTCTTCGAATTCTCCGGTTAGGGTCGAACCGAGGATGGCTGCAACACAGATTGTGTTCTCGTCTACCATTTCAACAGCCTTCTCAGGGTCCATCACGTAGTATCCTTCTCTTAGCTTCACTTCTTTAAGCTCCACCTCGAAATACCTTGCGAACTTCTCCCAACAAACCTGTATTAAACCGTAATTTCAGTAAAACATATGCCTAAACCGGGTTTAGTAAACCGGCATTACCTTCTTTTAGTTATTAATTTCAATTATGTGGTCAAAACGTTTCAATTTTTATGGTTTAAATAATTAAGCAAATTGAGAAAAGAGAGGAACTAAGCTCAAAATTTTTTTTTTGCTTAGTATATTAATTTTTGGAAGAGATGTAAAGAAACCGTTTTTTTTTTCTTTGAACAACAGCTAAACCGGTTTAGTGTTTCATTATCTGTCTGTTTTTAGTTCCTTTACCTGAACATTAGCTCCGGTTACGATATTGGGCTTATCATAAGGAAGCCCTTGAGCCTTACGCTTATTCTGCCACTGTCTCTTAAAGGCTAATCCAGCCAACATAATTGCCTCTGACGATCCCACAGTGCCAACGCCAACCGCAGCCTCGCCGTCACCGAGTGGCGCGTTGAAGAGCCGTGCGATCATGTTGACGCAACGGTTCTGAAGCTCGGTGGTGACAGGGTACTCGTCCATGTCGACGTAGTTCTTGTTGATGGATTCCATCATGAGCTTGTCGCACTCTGGCTCCATCCACGTGGTCACGAAGGAGGCTAGGTTTAGCCTTGGGTTACCGTCGAGCATTAGCTCGTCGTTGATGATTTGGTACGCTGCTTCCTTCGGGATTGAGTTCTCAGGCATCTCGAATCTAATGATGAAAAACATCACGTAAAAAATTTTTAGCAAAAAAAAAAAAAAAAATTTAGCAAACAAAAAAACTACTAAAAAATCTAAGAATCAAATTAACACGTACAATAAATGCTTTAATTGGGATTACCGTATTATTATTTGTGTAGATCTTGGCATGCAGGAAAAACGTAAAAGCCTTAAAACTATATAGTATATGCTAATTACAAAGCAAACGAGACATTGAGGAAATATAGTAAATAATTAAAAAGAAGTCATGAGGTGAAATGTTGTTAGTTTTATTCAAT